CCCCCCCCCCTGCACGCCGTCTTGTGTGGTTTGTTGGCCATTGGCCATTGGCCATGATCCTGGACGCGACGATGCCGGCCATGTGACCAAGCCCACTTCCCCCCCCATGACGGGCACGACACCGGACTCGGTACACTCGTCTGGTCCATTCCAACTATGGACGCACCTCTGTTTGGTGAGACCAAGTCCAGCTCCAAGCTGGTGTACTATGGTGTGGGCGGCATTCTGGGCATCTTCTCCACGGTAGGTGGTGTGACAGGGGGCGGGGAGGGGGGGGGGGAGGGGGGGGAGCATGTGCGACACGGGAGGACAGGGGAGGCAGGGGGAGAGGCAGGTGAGGCAGGGGGAGAGGCAGGGGGAGGCAGGGGGAGAGGCAGGGGGATTCATGGCAAGGTGGGAGGGACTGGTGTGCGGTGCAGGTGACTGTGATTGCGGCCATTGTGACGGGCGCCAAGGAGGACTTTCGGCACATCTTCTTTGCTATCACGCTCTGCCTCTACCTGGCGGTCTTTGCCGTCCTTGTCCGGTGGTACATGAAGGGCGATCTGGATCCCAAGTTCAAGAACCTGTTCATTCTCCTTACCATCGCCTGCCTCTTTGCAGGCGTCACCGCGAACCTGTACATCTGGCGCAAGCTGCCGGACGTCAAGGCTTGTAAGGGCGAGCTGTACTATGTGGAGAGCGAGACCAAGGGCTACTGCGTCCCGCTCTGCGCCAGCTCGTACCTGCTCAACACCCGCACTATGGCCTGTCAGTTTGTCAACAACTCGCTCTCCACCCACGGCGTCGACATGATCGACTCGGGCCTCTCGCCACTGTCGCTGCCGGACGACGGTGACGCGCCGGCCGAGGCCCCGATCGAGCCTGCTCCCGCCGCGCTTGCGCCCGTCGCGGCAAAGGAGGTCGAGGCCAAGCCTGCGTCGGCGGCCGGCTCGGTCGCCTTTGGCGTGGGGCTCAAGCGCCGCAAGTCCGGCATCAGCTTCCGCAGGCAGCCGTAGCAGCTCCATGACGGCGACATTACATTATCCCTCGCAGCCGAGCTACCCCAGGCGTTCGCGCTGCGCTGTATGTCTTTCATTCCTAAGCGGGCCAAGAGTGCGACAGCATAGCCCGGGACTCAGGCCTCGCCAGCCAGCGCCAGCGCCTTGTTGGCCATGGCCACCACTCCCTCGTACGTCTTGTGCCCACCGATAAAGCCCGAGGCGTGCACAAAGATGGCGCCGTCGACGCCAAGCTCGGCCTTGGCATCGAGCTCGGCGTCGCGGACACCGCGCCACGGCTCGGGCAGCGGCAGGCGCGACTGGAACGAGTCCGGCGAGATGGGCACGGCCTGGATGCGCCACGCGCCCGAGCGGTCGGTAAAGAGCGCGTACTTGACAGAGCCAGCAATGCCACGCTCCTCCTCAAGCTCCATCAGGTGCGCCTTCCACGGGCAAGTTGTCTCCAGGAGAATGACCTCGCCCGAGGGGTGGACCGACGGCGCGGCGTCGAGCGCGGCAGCGACAATGTCGCGGGCCGGAAGCCACGAGTGGACCAGGCCCTCGAGCTTGCCCACAAAGGCCTCGGTAGTGATGGCAACGGCCTTCTCAAACCGTGCCTGGACCGGATCGGTGTCGGGCTCGTCGGCTGGCGCCTCGAGCACCTCGTTCCACCGCGGGTTGAGCGCCGCCACCCGCGAGCCGAGATCCGTCCCGTTCGACTTGTACGCCGGCTTCAGCTCGGCAGGGTACTGGGAGATGCCGTTGTCGATGGCGTCGATGGCCTCGACAAAGTTGACATACATCTTGTTGTACACCAGCTCGAGCACGGCGTCGTCAGCAATGTCCGCCACCGAGGCCACAATCTCGCGACCAAAGTGCTTGTACACCAGCCCTGCCGATGACAGCGTAGTCTCAAAGCCCTCGCCAAAGGTGCCAGTAAAGCCACGCTGGTGGTGGTCAAACAGGTTCTTATCGGCATCGTACACCCCGCCCACGTCCACCACCACATCTGCCGTCGCCAGCACCTCGGGATCCCGCGACCGCACCACGCCCGCGCCGGCAAACTCCTTGGTCATCCTCAGGAGGCCCACTGCGAGCGCCTCATCACAATGGAACCTACCCCCCCCTCCCGTTTACACATACCCGTTCCGCCCAGCACCAGCCCGGAGAGCATGTTGTGAGTTGGCGGCCATGCAGAGGATGGGGAGGCAGGGGGTGATCGTGATCGTGATCGTGATCATGATCATGATCTTGATCATGATCTTGTCCCTGTTCGGATCACCGTCGCCCCTCCCCCCTTCCCCCCCCCCTCCCCTCCCCCTCTTCACGCTACACTGGAGCCACCTACGAGCCAGAATGTGTTCCGATGACCTTGGTTGATGCCATGGCTGCTGCTGTGGTGATACGGCGGATTGAAGAGAGCATTGGGGCCTTGAACGTGCTGTCGCCTGGCTCGCTCGTCGGCGCAAGAGGCCTCTCTCGCTGGCTTTCCGGCCAAACTGAGTGGCTCGATCTTGGGGATCACGGCGACCCGGCAGGCCTTTCATGCCGCCGCCCCAAGGTTGCCATCAAGTGGGCTCACAATGGCTTCTGATCAACTCGGCCTTGACTCTACGCAGTATATCTTGGCTGCAACCATGTGATCTGTTACACGTGTTTATTCGAGCAAGATCGGTTTTTGATCAGTGATCACGCTTCAAAATCATACCGGCCCCCCCTTCCTTTCCTGCCCTCGATTCTCATCCCTCCCCCCTTATTTCCGCACCTTTCCCTACCGTATTGCAGCCAGCACAACCACGTGCATGCGTCTCTTCCCCGGTGGCGTGATCGGCTCATCGTGTGTGTGCGGCTGGCTCATCGCGTCTTTGCTCTCGCTGCGCACCTGATTTCCATTCTGCTGCCACTGGCACGCCGGCAACCACCTCTGCCTCCCACGCCAGGCACAAGACTCCTCTCCACTGACGTCGGCGATGGGTATGGGGATATCTCTGCGGACACTGGTGGCGCCTGTGGTCTTCACAGCCGCGCTGGTTGCATTGTTCTCGGCCCCCGAGGCCGTGGACGAGCTGCCGTCCCTGACTCGGCTTGCTCCAACCTGGTTCCGCTCGACAGCTGTGGCTGCCGTGGGCGTCTACCCCCAGTCACGGACGGAGGCCTTTGCCTACGGAAGGCTGCTGGAGCGATTGGTCGTTGCAGAGGCCCGCGGCGATGGAAAGGCGATTGATGAGGTGCTTGCGGCTGCCGCTGTGCTTGCGGGGCGCGTAGTGACTGCGCGCGAGGTCAAGGCCATCGAGGACAACACAGTGGCGGTCGAGTCCCGCCGCGGACCACTGAGCGTAGCGCTGGGCATGCTCTCGCTGGTCAACATCATGTGGCTAGTGTCGATCTTTGGCATTGCCGCCTTTTTGCTCCCGGCGCTCGCCATCTGCGTCCGCCCGCTCGTCGCCGCCCTGATCTCCGTCTTCACCCGCTGGATCCTCCCGATGCTCATTGCGCTGCAGCCAGTCTACGAGCTGGCGATGTACGCATTTGCGGTCTTGCTGCTCGCAGAAGGTCTACGCATGCCGCCCGAGACCGGCGTTATGATTGCGCTCACCGGTGTTGTCCTCGCCGTCCCGGCCTTTGTGTACTCGACGTACTTGCACACGCACGCAAAGACGTCGATGAGTGCATTCTCGACGTGGGTGAGCGTGTTGTGCACCGTCTGGTTTGTTGTTCCGGCCATCCACTTTGATGACGCTCTCATGGCGTGGATTGCAGTGGCCTCGTTCTACTCGGCGGTCGGGTTCTCAGTCGTCCCGCTCGGCCTCAGGTACCTTGTGGGCTTCCACTCGCCAGAGACCATGGTCCGGGTCTCGATCACGTCGACTATTGTGCTCGGAACCTTTGCGGCACTGAGAGTTTGCGGGGCTGAGTATGCGGCGATGCAGCTGCTCGCTGCACCCACGTCTGTCTTTGGCACGCTCACGCTCCTCCTCGCGCAGCTCATTGCCTCATCGCGGTTCTACGCTTGGTGGTCGTTGCCGTACTATGTGCGGCAGCTGACGATGATTGCCACGCTGGGAGTCCTGCTCGGCTTTGGGGCCATCGGCGGCTCACCGGGCATGTTCAACACGGCAACGACGTTTACCGTGCTGTACGTGGTGGAAAAGGTGCTCGAGCTCGAGTTCCTCTGGTCGTCCAGCATCGCGCCGCTCACCATTCTCGCCATTTTTGTCGCCATGTACGCCGCCTCGCTCTTCCTCGCATCACATCCGGGCTGGCTCGTCTCGATTGCGTTCAACCTGTAGCGTCAGTTCTTACGGCTCGAGGTGGTCGAGCGGATACGGAGCGTCGATAAAGTCCAGCTCGGGGACTGCAGCGAAAAAGTCGGCAATGGGCACGTCTGCCAGCGAGCGCGGGTAGTGGCTCGTCCGCCACGACGGAGTCGAGCCGAGCTTGGACGGTGTGATGTGGTTGCGCAAGTCGGCAAGAGTGGCCGGCGACGACGCGTTGCGGACCCGGTTCTCCAGAAAGCTGAGGGTGTGGTAGGTGAAGCGATCGATGACGGCGACACCGAGCGAATGAGCCGCCGAGTACGAGTACGACGACTCGCCGATGACCGACGATCCAACAGTGACAATGCCTGGCGTGGTGACGGCCGAGAACAGCGTGTCGGCCTGACACGTGTCGGCCATGACCAGCATCTCGTTGAACCGGCCCGTCGAGGCCATCGACGCAAAGGCGTCGGCAAGATCGACCGAAGTCACCTCGCCCGAGTCCTGGAACTTGAGGAACTGGTCACCGCCGTGGCCGGTCATAAAGACCAAGATGTTGGAGCCGGCGTCTGAGCGCAGCATCTTGGACTTGGCCGTGCCCGGCGGCGTCCGTCCGGTCAGCACTCGCAGAAAGGCCTCAGCAGTGACCTCGTACCCGCGATAGTCGACCTCTACAGCCTCCCCATACAGATTGAGGTCGAGTGAGCCCGAGTTGAACACATGGGCCGGCTCGATGTTCCGCGAGTTGCACGCCATGTCATCTGCGAGCATAAGGATGATGTGCGAGTCCGGAATGCCCAGCCGCTGCACAGATCGGTACAGCGAGAGCGTGTTGGCAATATGCCGATAGTTGAACCAGTACCTCGAGGCACAGACAAGGACCGCCCAGTTGGACGTGTGTCCGCCATCTCCGGCCCCTCCGCCTGCTGCCGCCTTGCCCGTTGCTCCCTCGCCTGCCGCTCCCTCGCCAGCCGCCGCCTTCCCTGCCTCTCGTCTCGCCAGCCACGCTGCCGCCACATCGACTGCCTCCTCGGCCCCGTCTGTAGCCACCACCTGGACCTTGCTCATCCCGTCCCCAGCCCCAGCCGAGGTCCCGGCCACAGGCAGAGACTCAGCGCCGTCCACCTCTGCCGCCACCGCCACCTCTGCCGCCAGCACCGCCACCGCCACCGCCACCGCTACCGCCCCCAGCCCCAGCCCCCAGCCTCTCCTGCTGCCTCTACACATAGTCCTCTGTCTCCTTTGCCCTCCCATCTTGCTTGGGCGGTGTTCGAGTGAGGTGTGGCACCCGCTTGCCCTCGCCCTCGCCCGCCCCTCCCGCCCACCCGCCGGCCAGCGAGAGCGTCGGGGCTGGACATCCGGATGCGCCGGCCAGCTGTGGTAACGAAAGGGCTTGTGTTTGTTGCGGATGGTAGTGGTAGTGGTGGTGGTGGTGGTGGTGGTGGTGGTGGTCAGTAGGACCAGGGGAAGACGACAAGCTCGGCGAGGTCGATGCCAGCGAGCGCGATGCCTGGAAGGACGAGGAGAGAGACCAGCCGTGCGAGCGAGTGGTTGGTGAAGCGTGCTTGCTGTGGCGGCGGAGGGCCGGCACGAAAGTCGACAAGGGGCTCCATAAAGGCGATGAGGCCCAGGACGGCGCAGGAGACGACGCCGGCCCAAATCAGCCATGATCGCGTCCGCCGCGCCACGAGCGACCACATGCAGGCAACAAAGCCGTAGCAGCAGACCCCCATCGGCGCCAGCATGCCGAGTGTCGGCACAGCGCCCAGCAGGGAAGCGCCGGCGACCGCTGCCAGCGCGAGGCTCGCCGAGCCGACCACTGCCGCCAGCCGCCATCGCACATCGTAGGCGTACAGCATCCACACCGCCGGGACAGCGAGGCCCACCATGTGGGCAAGCCATGCGAGAAGCGCCACCCGCCACCAGAACGCATACGATCCGTCGACTCCAGGCGCATCAGCTGTGGTCAACGCCGCCGCCGAGCTCGGGCTCCGGCCGTGGAGCCCGGCCCCCGCAGCGGCGGCCACTGCTGCGGCGAGCAGACTGGCGGCATGCCATCCGATAATCAAAACCGATGACCTCGGCCCACGGCGACGTCGTGAGCCACTTTGCCCGTGTTGGCCCGTTCGGCTCTGACCGCCATTGGCGCCCTCGCCGCGGCCCCTACTCCCACCGGCTGCCAGCCATCGGTGGAGCGGGACGGCGAGCTGGGCGGCGGCGAGCAGGACACACTCGCCAGCCACCAGAGCCTCTGTTGCCGTTGTGGCAGGGCAGTGGTCGAGGTACTGCACAACCGCAAGCACCATGGCGTGAGGTGCGTGGGCGACAAGTGGGTCGGAGGGCAGGTAGGCGGCGGCTGGTGGTGGTGGTGGTGGTGGTGGTGGTGGTGTTGGTGGTGTTGGGGGGCGGTGGCTCTCTGCCCTCTTTGGGCTGCCCTCTTTGGGTTCATTCCTTGTCGGCATCGGCGGCCGGGGACGACGACGTTGAGGGTGTGCGCTTCTTGAGGGCGGCCTCGCGGGCAAGCTGGGCGAGCTCAGCCTGCTCGACCACATAGTTGGTGAGCTCGTCGATGGAGATGCGGTCGTCGTTGTCGAGATCGATCTTGGCCCAGAGGTCGTCGAGCTGCTTCTCGGTCAGCTTGTGCTTCATCGACGAGACGGCGAGCGCAAACTCAGCGGCGGAGATGCAGCCGTCGCCGTCGATGTCGATGGTCTTGAGCGAGGCGCCAAGCTCTGACTCGGCGTCGTGAATGTCCTCCTCAAGGGACGAGACCATCTTGGCAATCTTGCGCTCGAGCGACGAGAGGAGCTTGGTCTCGGCGACCACGCGCTTGTCCTTGGAGACAGCGGCGGCGGCGGCAGCGGCGGCGGCCGACTGTGCTTCGGCCTCGGCGGCAGCGGCGTCCTTCTCTTCGGACGCCTTGAGCGCCTCGAGCGCCTCCTTCTCCTTCTCGAGGGCCGAGTCGGAGGCAAGGGTGACGACGGCCTCCTCGAGCTGCTGCAGCTCCTCGGACGAGAGAGCGGTGACGACATCGTGCATGCGCTCCAGCGGCTCAGCGCCCGGACGGGCGGCGGCGTCGTCGTCACCGACGTCCTCGCCACGTGCTGCAGCTGCCCGCTTGGCCTCGGCGGCGATGACTGTGGCGGTGGCGGAAGCCACCGTTGCGGCGGCTGTCGCGGCCATGGTGGCATCTGCGAGCGACTTGGTGCGGATGGTGTCCTCCTGGATAGCAGTCTTGACAGCGGCGTCCTCCTCGGCCTGGCGCGCAGCCTGCTTGGCGGCGTCCTCCTTGTCCTTGAGCTCCTTGGCCTTGGCTGCTTCGCGGGCGATGGCCTCCTCCTCGATCTTGAGTAGGCGCAGCTTCTCAGCCGCGGTATCGTCGTCATCCTCGGTGTCGACCTCCTCGGCCCGAATCTCGTCGATGATCTCCTCGGGGAAGGCCAGGATGGTGTCCTGGAGGCGGACGGCCGGCGCCACCTTTTCGGAGATGAGCAGCGCGCGTGAGAGGACCAGCATGGCCGCCGGCACCTGCTCCTCGATGTGCAGATAGAGCCACTCGGAGATCTGGGCGCGAAGCTTGTCGAGGTCGACTCCGACGCCGCGCATGCCACGCGAGATGGCGGCCTGGACCAGCTCCTCATCCGAGAGCGAGTCGACGCCCTCGTCCATGATCATTAGATCGTCCTGCTTGATGGTCTCGAACCGGTTCTCGAGCTGGAACCGCAGGTACCCGGTTGTGCCGTACGGCGAAATGCCCATGTACTTGCACATGTTCTGCAGCTGCGGCCGGGTCAGCGTGCTCAGAGTCAGCTTGTCGCCAAACAAGTTCGCCATCCGCAGGATCGACTCGTTGTCGACAGGCTCGCCGGCTTGCACCTTGCCCATGAACGAGGTCAGCTCCTCGGCGCGCGCCTCGCCGGACTTGAGCTTGGTCTCGTCAGCCACCTCGTGCAGGATCTCCTTGAGGAACTTGGCCATCTCCAGCCGGATCTTGAGCTCCTTGCGGCGCTTCTCCTTCACCTTGGCCTCGTCCTCAAACGTCGACGGCAGCATGTTGGGGAAAATGTACAGCGCGACCGGGAGGAGGAGCTCGAGGAACGGAACGACCAGGAACATGGCCAGTGGAATGACTCGGAACAGGTCTGCCGCTGTCCGTCGCAGCTGCCGCCGCTCGCGCCGCGTCAGCTGGTTCCCGCGGACCAGCTTGATCAAGTACTTGGACGCAATGCGGGTCTCTGTGCCCAGCATCTTGAACCCGGTCCAGTGGTGGTGGGCCATCTTCTTGGTCGCCACCCACATCTTAGCCAGTCGCGACTGCGCCTCGGCAGCCTCGGCCTCGGTCTCCTTCTTGCTTATCTTTCCGCTCTTCTTGCCCTCGTCCTCGTTGTCTGCCCACACCGGCCGCGCCGTGCTCAACGCCCGCAGCGCCCCGCCGGCCACGGACCGGCCCCCGCCGGCCTGCAGCAGCATCCGCGCGAGGCCCGGCGGCGGCGGCGCGCCCCATGCCCACCCAGACTGCCGGCCGAGTAGCGCCAGCGTCCGCCCGCTGCCTGGGGCCGAGACTGAGGCGAGGGACGGAGCCGGCGCCGAAGGCACCAAGGCTCGGGAGGCAGCCCGGGCCGAGAACAGCCTTGCGGCACCACCAGAGCAGCTCACGGTGTGGAGCGAGTTGGCCACAGCACCATGGAGAGCATGCCTCGCAGCAGCACCGCTACCGGCGGCACTCTCGCTCAACTGCGACCGAGCCGCTCCGCCGCCTCCACTCGCTGACCCCGCACGGACAGCCCGGACTGCCCGGACTGCCCGCACAGCCGCCAGCGACGACCGTCCCGCGCGCATGGTGTACGTGTGCATGAGTATAATAGATATACGTCAGCCACCCGTAGACCTTCTCCAGTCGAGTCTGTCCACCCACTTTTACTTCTACTACCTCTCCCATACACGCCCCCCCCCCCCCCCCCCCCCCTCTGCCTCTCCCGTTCCCGTTCCCGTGTCGCTCAACGTTCGCCATGTCGCGTATTCACAGTCGCCAGACCGTCCGACCGCCAGCAGCCCGTCACCCGCCAGCCGACCAGCCGACACGTTGCCGGCCGACCAGGTGATCACCCGCTCCCTCCCCATCCCGCCCACTTCAGCCATTCCAAGCCAATTCCCTCCTGCCCTCTCAAGACCTTCGCCCTCAACAGCTCCACCCTCTACTCTACCGCATCTCCCGTGCCGATCGCCGTCATCGAATCCCTTCCCTCCCTCCCTCCCTCCCCCTTCTCGTCAGCCACAACCTCTCCTGACTCGCACTGATCATGTGGGCCGCACGCGGGATCGGGAGCGTACTGCGCTTCCTCTACACCACGCCCAGAGCCTCCAAGCTCTTCTCCGGTCACCCTTGCTCACAGCTACCCACCCGCGCCCTCGCCTTGTACGCAGTGGTGGCCGGGAGCGGTAGCGTCCGTCTCGGCCGGGCGTGGATGGGCCGACAGCAGACTCGCCGGCCAGGCGGGGCAAGCGACGGACGAGGGCGGGGTGTGAGGCAGGCACAGGCACAGCTCTCGCAGCAGACTCGGGAGTACACTGCAGGGATGGACCGTCGCCCGCCGAACCTGTATCGGACTCTGGAGGTGCATCCTCAGGCAAAGGAGGGTCGGAAGCCGTTTGCCCTCGGCGACGTGGCTTGGCTCGGATTTGACCTCGACCACACGCTCGTGCGGTACAAGATGGACGTCTTTATGCCGCTCTGCGCATCAGCCATTCTCCAGCACCTCGTGACTGCGCTCGACTATCCTCAGAAGCTGGTGGAAGCTGATTTCGACTTTTCGTTTGCCAAGAAGGGCCTCATCATCGACAAGGAGCTCGGCAATGTGGTCAAGCTCGATTGCCAGGGTCGGGTTCTGCAGGGCGCCCACGGGTCTCGCTGGCTCTCGGCGAGTGAGCTGGCGGCGGCGTACGGCGCCGATCCGCTGCCGGGCTTTGAGGGCCGGTCGTCGGAGCGGTACTGGCCGCTCAACACCTTTTTCGACATTCCGGTCGCGCCGGTCTTCGCCGCCATGGTCGATCTCGAGACCGGCAAGTCGTACACCCAGCTCACGCTCGACATCTACGACTCGGTCTCGCACAACTACCTCTCGTTTGACGGCGGATACTACTTTGGCGCCTTTAAGGAGACGCCCGAAAAGTACGTCCACAAGCGCGACGAGATCAAGGCCTGGCTCGCCTCGCTCAAGGCCTCGGGCTCTCACAAGCTCTTTGTCGCCACCAACTCGATGCCGGCGTACTCAAAGCTCCTTCTCGACTTTGCTTTTGGTCCCGGCGAGTGGGAGCCGCTCTTTGATCTTGTCCTCTTCAAGTGCTGCAAGCCGGCGTTCTTCACCGAGGCTGCCCCGTTCCAAGCCGTCACCTTTTCGCCGCGCTCCGATGCGCCGCCACCCGCCGACGGCTCGTACGTCCCTGTCGACGTCGCCTTTCGTGATCTTGCGCCCGGCGAGACCATTCAGATAGGAGGCATGTACCACTACGGCAACGCCGCCGACCTTCACGCTGCGCTCGACGTCGAGCCTGCCGACATTGCCTACTTTGGCGACCACATCCCGTACGACTGCGGCGCTGCCAAGATCCATGCCGGCTGGCGGACCGTTGGCGTCGTGGAGGAGGTTGACTACGACCGCTCGCCGCACTCGGACCCACAGGCTTACAACTCCTGGTCGTGCTTCTTCACCTACGACCCAGTTGCCGAAATCAACACCGCCGTGCTCCCGGACCCGGCCTCATCCGAGACCTACTACAAAAAGTGGATGGACGAGGCGTGCGATGCCGTCGTTCCCGACCTCAACCATCTCATCGGCGTCGAGCTCGATACTGTCCTCAACACCTCGTCGTTCTTTGTCAATCCGGCCGTTCCGCCGCTCCCGCCGCCCGGCGTCACCCACCTCCACCTCGATGGCGACGTTGCCGAGACCAGTGAGCAGTAGCAAACTCCACTCCACACTGGTACTGTACCACCATACGCCCCCCCCCCCCCCCCTTTTTCCAGCCTCTCCCACACTCGGCATCGTCTTTGTCACCGCCGGCAAAATCTTCACCGCCTGCCCAATCTTCAGCAGTGATTTTATTGCTCAATCACCTTCGCTGCCACCGTGACGGGCTCAATTTCCCCCCCCCCTCCCCCCCCACCCCCCCTCCCCCCTCCACGACACGCGCGCACCCACGCTTGCACCACGCGTGGGTCCTGCCACAACCCACTCCCACGTCACTCAGCTCTGTAACTCAGTAGAGTCCTCTCTCGCCCTCCCCCTTGTCAGGCTTCATACCCTCCCTTTCTCTGCTCTCTCCCCCCCTCGCCCCGGCTCACCATTCCAATATGCACCAGCGATTTGTTGTTGTCGTTGTGTGTGCCGTCTCAGTCTTGACACTGAGCGGGCTGGTGAGCGGGCAAGCGCCATTGTCGCCGCCACCACCGCCGCCTTCGCCACCTCCTCACTTTCCGCAACATCCTTCCGATCCGGTTCCCACGGCCCGATTTACAAGTACCTCTGCCGAGTTTGACATCACTTTTTCAAACGCCACCGATCGCGCTGGTGCACCCGAGTCCGTCATCGACTTTGACTGCGGGATTCTCTTCTTCGACATCTCCACGCTGGGCACGAGTCCTGTCTGTCGCTTTGTCACTGACGCCCATGTCAACGTCGCGCTCGGATCAGGCGCCACCGCGATGCCCGGCGATGTGCTCTTCCTCGCTATTGAGTTCAAGGCAGCCGCACCGGCGGCCCGGCGGCGCAGGAGAGTAGAGATCCGCGGCCCGACGAGCATCACCCTCCTTGCCCCACTTTCGCCCCAGCCGCTGGTTGCAGCCCTCCTCGCACCGCCCTCGGTCGACTCGTGTGGCACGGTTACGCTCGACGCCTCGGCATCGAGCGGCATCCGTCTCCTGTACCAGTACGCCCTTCTCTCGCCGCACAACACGAGCGATGCGTTGGCTGTTTCGTCGGCACTCGCTGCCACCCCCAGCTCACAGTTCCAGGTCTCGCTCGCAGTTGACAGCTGGCCAGAAGGCGTACCGTACGTCTTTCGCCTCACTGTCACCGACTGGCTGGGAGCGACTGACAACACCACCACCACAATTGTCAAGGATCCCGGCGCTCCGCAGCTCACGCTCTCCACCGCCACGGCCCTGGTCTCTTCGCGGACAGCGTTCGCGCTCTCAGTCGACGTCGCATTTGCATCGTGCTCGTCGTCGTCGACGCCGCCGATTGCCGTTGCCTGGTCGACGAGTGCCGGGCCGGACGACCCCATCACTGCCCACGGGATTCCTGCCGCAAGCAATACGCTCAACTTTCCGCCGGGTGTTCTCACTGTCGGCGGGAGCTACATCTTTGAGGTCAACGTCAACACCACCGATGGATCGGCCAAGTCGGCGTCAGCGTCAGCAACGGTGACCGTCAAGACTTCGGCGCTGGTGGCGTTTGTGGCAGGCGGCAGCAGCCAGACTTTCCACTCGAGCCTTGACGTAGTGCTTGACGGCTCGGGCTCGTACGATCCCGACGCGGCCGGCGCTCTCACGTACCTGTGGACTTGCACGGATGTATCAGCCGGTGGTGCGTGTGTCTCCTCGCCCTCATCGATCACCTGGAACGCACCGACTCTCACCCTCCCAGCCTCACTCATTACGGTGCCTGTCTCGGACAAGTTGTCGATATCACTGACGGTGAGCGCCGGCGCGCGTTTGAGCGTGACGACGATCACGGTCACGCGCGCCGTCCTTCCGTTCGAAAAGTACAGTTTGACGTGGCGCGATGCCGATCTTGTGCAGAACGTTAATGACTTTATGATCCTTACCGCCAACGTTGTCCCAGCCCAGGCCGGCGATGTAATCGAGTATTTGTGGGACGAAGCGAGTGGAAAGCTCAATCTGGAGGCAAACAACACGCTGGCAACGCTCACCCGCCGCGAGAATAACTTTGGCATCCGGGCCAACGTCATGGTGCCGCAAGTCGAGTACGAGTTCCGCCTCTTCGCGCGTGTTATCCGCAACTCGGGCTCGTTACGATCTTCCCTCACGACCCGCGCCATTGCCGACGCGCTCGACAGCGGCCTCTCGTCGCGCCACGCACTCACGCGTGCGTACTGGGCCGCGCACTACCCTGGAGATCCCGCCGCACTGCTTGGCACTGGCTCCGCCCGCGGCACCAGGGCCGTCTCGCCGTACTTTCACCTTGCGTCGCACGTGGCGCGGGTCAACGCCGTCCCTGTCGGTGGCACTTTCACGGCTGTTGGGCCACCGGCATCGGCCACGGCTGACACGCTCTTCACCTTTGTTTTTTCAGGCTGGAGCGATGGCGACGGCGACGTCATCCTCTACTCGGTGGTCCAGGAGCTGGCGTCGGGCGAGCTGCTGGAGCTAGTGCCAAAGTCGGTTGGCACCTCGCACTCGGTGTATCTTCAGCCAGGCCGACAGGCGAACAACTACCAGGTCAGCGTGCTTGGCTATGTGACCGATGACCGCGCTGGCCGTGCCGCGCCAGTCAAAATCTCACTCCGGGTCCAGCCGTTTGCCGCATCGTCGGCAGGCGCAGGGGCGACCGCCGAAAGCCTTGTTGACGGCATCCTCTCGCGAAGCGTGGAACTGGGCAACGTCAACCAAGCGCTGCAGCTCATCTCATCGATCTCGGACGTGGTCAACTCGGCGCCGTCGCCGACGCCGTCTGCGACGCCGGACCCGACGGCAGTCCGCGCGCGCGAGAAGCTATTTGCCGCCCTCCAGCGTGTCGCCAAGGTCAACGGAACTGCCGACGACCTGGCACGGACGTCGTCGACGCTCGGGGTAGTCCTCGGCGTGCCGCGCGAGGTGTCAGCAGCGCTGCTCGACAACTCGCTCGCGCTCACTACTCAGCTGTTCAGCTCGATAGGCGAGTCGTATGTGACCGAGGAGCAGGGCTCCGGCATCTCGCGTGCGCTGGCCGGCCTCTTTCGCGCCGCCAACGCCAACGCGTCGCTGGCGTCTGTTGGCGAGGTGACTAGCGGCGGCGACGCTGTCAGCCGCACACTGGAACTTGTACCCAAGCTGGCGCGCGCGGTCATGGCCGATGCTGTCGATGGCATGATTCCGCTGGTAGCGAGCAACGCCATGTTCCGGTTTGAGGGCCGCCAGCATGTAGCGTCGTCGCTCGGGCTCCAGGCCAACGAGACCGGCAGCACTGTTCCGTCGGGCGTGGACCTGGCGTCGGCGTGCGGGGCTATCCGGCTACCGACGTCGGCACTCACGGGCGCCGGCGCCCGCGAGAACGACTCGATTCGTTCCGAGTGCATTGCCTTTTCAGAGAACATCTACGCTTGGGCAGGCGGGCGAAGCGCCGATGGCAACTCGTCGCGCAAGACGTCTGGCGCGCTGGTCTCGCTCTCATATCGTGCGTCGCCGGTGGGCGCACTGAGCATTGGCGCATCGACGCCACTGGTAACCGGCGAGCTTGCGGTTACCAACAGTGCCGACGCCATCTTTATCACGGTGCCGCTGACGGCGGGCCGTGGCGAGCTGTCTGCGGCCGCCTGCCGATTCTGGGATGACACCCGAGACGGGTGGAGCGAGGACGGATGCCAGGTTGCGTCTGTTGAGCGGGGGTGGCAGTAACGTGCGCGTGTAACCACCTAACGACGTTTGGCCTCAACACGCTCGACGCGTCCGACTTTGAGCGGCTGAGGAATATCAAGGACCAACCAGAGGCGCTCATTGTGGTTGTGCTTGGATGGGCGGCGCTCCTCATCGCGCTGCCGTTCCTTCATTTGGCTGACCGCAAGGACGCGCTGGCCTTGCTTCACGACCGCGATGCCGAGCACTCTGTGTTTCTACAGGCCAAGCTTGCAGCACTCAGTGGGCGCGGAGCACTGCTCAAAAAGTCGCTCAAAGACGCTGTGACGCGCAAGCATCTCTGGATGTCGCTCTTCATCAAGGCCAAGGATGATCCGTTCACTCGGGTTTTCCGCGCTGGCGTTCTCTTTACCACCCTTGTCGCCGGCCTTGCCATGGCTGCTGCGTTCTTTAAGGACCAGTCCGACGACGAAGTGGTGAGCAGCAAAGCGCGAATCGTCGAGCTTGTTGTCTCGATCGTCATCGGAGTCGTGCTGTTTGGCCCCATCACCGCCATCACCTTTTCCTCCGCAAGGCGGCCAAAGGCACCATCTACGGCCTCTTACCCAAGGAGCGGCACTGGCTCCAGCTTCATCCCGGCAAGCGGCCGATTGATGCCGTCGGCAAGAGCCCGCCAGCTCACATGGGCCTCGCTGAGCCGCTGCCTAGCTTGTCTGTTGACGAGCAAGAGGAGGTGAGCTCGAGCGAGGATCTGTCGCCTGTTTTGCCCTGGCGGCCGTGGTGGTACTACTGGCGAGAAAACTACGCGGGCGATGCCGGCGCCGTGCCTAGGTTTACCGGCAGTACCAGTGCCAGCACCAGTGCCAGCACGGATACGTACTCGTCGTGGTCGAGCTCGCTTTTGGGAGCGAGCAAGCGCTGCTGATGCGGCATGCCTTGGCCATGCCGTTGTCAACCGCGACCGCAAGCTCAAGCGAGTCGATCGACTGGATTCGCGACGCGCTCGACGACGGCGTGGCGTTGATCTCGTCGTCGTCGTCCAGCAGAAGCAGTGCACAACCGCCTCCACCGCCACCGATAGTGGCGGCGGCGATGGCGCACGCAAACACACCCGAGAGCGGCCAGGGTGGCGAGAGCGGCGAAGCCGGCAAGGGCAAGCGGTGGTTCGGCATTTGCTGCTGCCGCAAAAAGTATGCACCGAGTCTGGAGGAAATGGTGGCGGCGCTGCCGCCGGCAGTTGTCGAGGCGGCTTGGAGTGACTACCACAAGATGGACCTCAACCACGACGGGACGCTGGACGAAGAAGAGGTGGCGGTGATGATGGCGCAGCGCGGGTGGATTCTCCATGAGCGGGAGGTCTACCGGCTGATGGAGGCCATCGACACTGACCACAACGGAGTTGTCGACTTTTACGAGTACCTGGCCCTCGTTGCCATCCGGCTCCACAAGATCAAGGAGGAGGAGAAGGCGCTGCGGCACGGGAGTGTGCCGGCCTGGGGCGGCTGGCTTCTGTTTGGCGCGTTGATGATCATCTCGCTCGTGTCCTCGCTTCTGGTGATAGTGTATGGTCTCAAGTTCTCGCGGCCTGTGGTTCACTCGTGGCTCCGCACCTTTGCGTTCAACGTTGTGCTCGACACGATCTTCTTTGAGCCGCTCAAGGTCTTTACTGGCGTCCTGCTGCACATAGCGACAGTGTCTGGGGCGATGGGGCTGGCCGATGTGTTCTCGCTGTTTGGATGATAAAAATACACATCTGCACTGCAATGCAGCACCAACTGCAACATGTATGGGGAAAGGGGACGGGATGAAGATCGGGCATGGGGGAGGGGGTTGGGAAAGGGAGAAAAAGGGGAAAAAAGGGAAATGTGACCTGCATGTCTCATCCTCGGCTCATACCTCCAGAGGAGGTCACCGACGTTTAGCATGGATGCGGGACCTGGGAGCCTCACCCTCCCAAGGGAGGGGGCTCACCAATGACGTTCGTCCATCAAGGGCGCTGCAGACGGGATACACACCATGGCGTAATGGTGCCCCGCGTCCGTCAAGGTCCTCCGCCAGCCACTGGGACTGGGGCCAACCAAGACTGCTGCCGCTGGGCATGGCCAAAAGACGTACCCGCCGAAGCGGTGCGGTCAATCGGCTGCAATGCTGCTCAGCACGCCCACACCGACTAACCATTGTCTCGGCCACTGGCGGCGAATGGCCGAACGTACCCAGGCGAGGGCTTCCGCTCGCGAAATGGGTTTCACCGACTCGGCCCTGGTGGTGGGTTACATTGCAGCCAACACCACCGTTGTCGTCCTCTCCCGCTACATACGCAAGCACCACCCAGGCATACATACCAAGGAGGCCTCCATGTTCTATGTCGAGGCCATGAAGCTGGCATGTATGACCCTATACCTCGCCGTCGTTGCCGCGCCCGTCACTGCCCGTCTGCCACCCTCCCGCCTCACCCCACGCACCGCCGGCCATCTCCTCGGCCTTGCCACGCTGCCGGCACTGCTGTACGCTGCGCAGACGTGGCTTGCTTACTGGGCCATTGCCCGTCTCGACGCCGGCGTCTACGCCGCGTTCTCGGCGCTCAAGTTTGTGGCCGCCGCACTTGCCGCGGTCGTCCTCCGCGGCGCGCGCATCTCCCGCTCGCAACTCGCCGCCCTCGCCGCCGTCTGCTGTGGTCTGGCGCTGCTGCCGACTGCGCCCCGCGCCGCGAGCCCTGTCGCCGTATCCGGTCAGCTGGCGAGCACTTCGCTCTCGTCGGCTGTTGTCGCCGCCATGATCGCCATCGCCGCAGCGTCTGCGCTTGCTGGCGCTCTCACGGCGTCGCTCCTTCGCGGCGTAGCCGGGTCGTCGCCGCTGATGGCGCGTCTTGTCCCGCCGCATGTCTCTGCCCTCCCGCAGGCGTACAAGTCGCTTGCACTTTATGCCGGCGGTACGGTTGTCTCGGGCGTTGTGTGGGCGCTGTCTCCGCCCGGCGCAGCGACCCGTTCGGCCCCAGATCTGGTCCCGTGGGCGCTGGCGTGGCTCTCGCTTGTAGTCCTCGCCGCCAATGGCATTCTCATCTCGCTCCTCCTTGCCCGCATTTCGATCGTCGCCAAGTCGATGGCCGGTGCCTTTTCCGTCTTTACCATCGCCACGGCCTCGTCGCTCCTCTACGCCGACCTCGGCCCGACCGCGCCTCGGCTCGCCACCTCTGGCATTCTCATTGCCATCGCCATCTACGTCTTTCACGCCTACCCCCCTGCCTGTCATTCTCACTGCGATGCTTCTGAGGTGACCGAGCTAGTCCCTGCCCCGCTCAACTCGGACTCCGTCCGTAAGCGGTCAATCAAGCGCGACTGAGCCTCGCTTGTACAGGGCCTCGCCTGTGCAGAGCTTCCCATCCGAATGGATGATGGGCTCTGCCGTCGCATGCCGACCCGATCTCATCCGTAGCCACACTGCACACCAATCATTGAACGCACCCGTGATGCCGAGCCGATGATGCCGAGCCGATGATGCCGAGCCGATGATGCCGAGCCGATGGTGCCGAGCCGATGATGCCGAGCCGATGATGCCGAGCCGATGATGCCGAGCCGATGATGCCGAGCCGATGATGCCGAGCCGATGATGCCGAGCCGATGATGCCGAGCCGATGATGCCGAGCCGATGATGCCGAGCCGATGATGCCGACGCTGATCCCGACCACCATCCTCCCTCCCCACCCCCCCGTCCACCCCCGTCCCCCCCTCCCCCTCCCCCACACCACTCCCGCCCACACCTCACCCTCACCCTCGCCCACCATGGTACGCCCCTTCTCCTTCTCCTTGCCTCTCCTCCTCCTCCCTCCCCTCTCTCCATCCCCCTTCCCTCCCCCCCCCTCCCCCCTCCCCCCTCCCCCATCACTGGCTCATCCTCCCTCCCTCCCTCTCCCTCCTACCACCACCACTAACCACCCCCCACCCCCACCCCCTCCCTCCCTCCCTCCCTCCCTCCCCCCCTCTCCCACCCACAGGCCGACACGGTGCAGTACCTGATGGAGAAGATGCTCCCCGAGCTGCAGGACTTCCGCATGAGGGGCTACTTCAACGAGGAAGAGATTGGGAAGATTGTGGCCACACGGAGCGACTTTGAGTACAAGCTCAAGAGGAGGGCGCCGGATCGGGTCACCTTTGTCCGCTACTTGGAGTATGAGGCCAATCTGGAGAAGCTGCGGAGGAGGAGGAGGAAGAAGGTCGGTCTGCCTTCTGGCTTCCGTTCAAAGGCAGACTCTGCTTATCTGCGTCGCGTCCACTCCATCTACACCCGCTTGCTCCGTCGCTACCCGGGCGATGTCGACGACTGGGCCCGCTACTTTGCCTTTTGTGCCGACAATGGCGCTCACAAGCAGCTGGCAAAGGCCCATGCTAAGGCTCTCGAGGCCCACTCGCGCAAGGCCGACTTGTGGATCCTTGCCGCACGCTTTGAGATCGCCGTCCGTCACAACATGGTCCTCGCCCGTGCCCTACTGCAGCGCGGCCTTCGCCTCAACGGCCACGACCTCAACCTGTGGATCGAGTACTTTAAGGCCGAGCTCATGTACCAGCAGAAGCTTATCGACCGCCGCCGCCTCCTAGGCCTCCCGGTCCGCCCGGTCAAGGGCACAGCCGCCGAGCCGGCTCAGCTTCTCGGCGCTGTCGCGTCGGCGCTCCACGACCAGATGGCCGAGTCGGACGGCGATAGCGACGACACAGCCGTAGGCGCTGCCGCTTCGGGCTCGGACGTCGACGACGACGATGGGTTCGACCTCACTGCGAGCGACGACGAGGACGAGGACGAGGACGAGGACGAGGACGACAATGCCCAGCCTGCGGCGCCGGCCGCTGATGACGACGACGGCGACGCCGAGGCCATCAATGTCAACGTCTCTCTCCTTGCTTCGGCCGTCCCGCGAACCATCTTCCGCATGGCGCGGAACAAGTTTCCGGCCTCGATGGAGCTCCACCTCCGGTGCCTCGACCTCTATCTGCGGTTCGACAACACTGAGCTCGGCATCGACGAGGTCTACGAGTCGCTAGCGGAGCGGTTTGCATCGGCGCCCGACAACGAGCACTTTGTGGCGGCACTCAACGAGCTCGCCCGCCGCCCAATGCGGGCCTACCTTGCGGCCCGCGCCCGTCTCTCGACCGCGCCGTTTGAGCCGACGGCCTTCCAGGCCGCTTGGCTCTCTATGAGCGCCCGCTACGAGGAGATGCTCGAGGTCGCCGCCTCACCGGCCTTCCTTGAGGCGTACATGGAGACGTTGCTCTCTCTCCTCGAAACCGTCGCCGGCCACGGCGCGCTCTCGGCCTACACCGTCGCTGCGCGTGCGCTCCGTCTCGGTGCCGAGGCCGCCGCCGCAGACATGCTCACCGAGACGCTCGCCGCGCGCTGGGCCCAGCTCGCCGCTCGCCTCCCGGCCGACGTCCGCCCCGTCGGCGCGCCGTCCGCTGTTGACGCTGCTGCTGCCGGCACTGCCGCCTTTCCGTCCTCGCCGGTCCTCGCCGAGTTGCACCTGCAAGCACTCGCCGCCGCCGGCATGAGCGCGTCCGAGCTTGTGACCGCAGGCCTCGCTGCGCTGCGGCCGATCACCACCAGCCACGACACCATCCTCTCGTCGAACGGTCCGTTTAATGGCGAGCAAGCTGCGCTCCGCGCCTCGGTCCACCGGCTGTGGAGGACCGTTCTCCACGTCGCGCTGTGGAGCAAGGGCAAGGTGGCTGGCCGCGACGACGCAATTGCTGCCTCGGCCGGCGCGCTGCCGGACGGCGGCGCCGAGTGCATCGTCTTTGAGTGGGCGGTGGCCACGGGCTCGTCGACCAAGTCGATCCGCAAGGTCTACGCCGGTCTCCTTGCGCGGTCGGTCATGCAATCGCGCGCGCTCCTCGGTGCCATCATCCGCTTCGAGGCTTCGCTGCAGCGGCCGTCGATGGAGACGCTCGACCCGCTGCACGCGGCCATCACGACCTCGTTTGGAAGCCCCAAGGCGTCGCCTGACTCGGCCCACTTGCTCTGGATCGACTGGCTCCGCTCGCTGCTGCGGACCAAGGCCACACCGGCCCGCGTCACCGCCGTCTACAACAAGGCCACCCAGGCGCTCAAGAGCTCCGAAACCGAGATGGAGGCCTTCCTCGCCGCCTACCACGCCCTCAACGTCTAGTGTACGGCGGGTGATAGTCGGCCGTCGCGAGCTCGGCCCGCTCCAACGCGTCGGCGACCTGCCACGACGCCAGCTCGGCCGCCACGTCGATGCCGTTGGCGGCAAAGAACTCGTGCTCGAGCACCTTGTCCAGCGTGATTCGCGTCACCGGGTCTGGATCGAGCATAGCCCGCAAGAGCGCGTACTGCGGCGCCGACGCCTCGTCAGCCGGCAGGGCGTCCATCCACGAGTAGAACTCGGACCACGGTACCTCGCCCTTGTCCTCGAGATGGAAGAGGAGCTCGCCAAAGACCACGCCGGCGGCCCAGACGTCAACTGGCCAAGAGTAGCCGACAATACCATAGTTTTTGGCAAGGCCGTGGCGTGGCGGGTCGCCAGCGTCGCCTCCGGCGGCATCGGCCGCCTCCTCGGCCACCTTCTTGGCCGCCTTGTACGCCGCGTTGATGCCCTCCATCTCGGGCGCGAGGTGGCCCTCGGTTCCGGTCATCGACGTGTGCCCGATCGCCGGATCGTGGAACGTGGAGCAGTCAAAGTCCATGAGCGTTACACGGCCAGTCAACGGCTCGTAGAACAGGTTGTCGCGCTTAAAGTCACGGTAGATGATGCCCTTGCCGTGGACGTGCGCGAGCGCGCCGAGCGCGTCGACCATGTACCGCGCGATCTGCGGGAGCTCGAGACGCGTCACAGCCTCGGAGGTGTTGCGGAACTCCATGACAAGCGCGTACGTTCCGGTCTCGACGAGCGGAACCCAGTCGACGAGCTTGTTGATTCGCGGGTGGCCTTGCACCACGGCATGGACCCGGACGTCGCGCGGGACATCCTCGCCAACCGGCGGCCGCTCGTCGGGATCGTGGTCGAGCTGCGCAATCTTAATGGCCACCAGCGCACCGGTTGCCCTCTCGCGCGCCGAGTACACCACCAGCTGGCTTTCGAGATGGATGCGCTCAATAAAGTGGAACCGGTCGCCAAGCGCAAAGATGTTTGACTCGAACGGGAACTCGTCGTCGCCGTTGCGGAAGGCGACTTGTCGCGGGCGGTGTTCTTGCGGAGCCACCGCTGCTTGGCTACGATCTTGGATGCTGGATCAACAAGCTTGAAGAGCGACGCGGCCGCGTCCCAAGGTAGCGGCGGGGGGATACGCTGCGGCTTGAGAATGAGGCCGACCGAGCCGCCGAGCGGCTCGCGCGAGATGCGCACCGTCAGCGCGTCGCCGGTCTCCGACTCTTGGATTCCGATGGCATGCTTGCGGACCTCGCCACGCTCACCCCCACGCGCACTCGGCATCTTGCGGTACTGCACATGTATCTCGCCCGACGGGTGGAGCCGGACCTGGAACGACGCCGTCTCCACGCCGAGCGACTTGGCGCCGTACTGGGCCACGCGGTCAAACTGGACGAGCCACGAGGCGGTCAAGCCCGAGCCAAAGCTACGGACAAAGACCTTGCCCGCCAGCGACAAGTCCAGATCGCACCAGTACGGCGCAAGGACCGTCCCATGCATACGATATGCCGGGAGTGATTCGGGCGAGTGCGGGACCGAGGTCGGCGAGAAGCGGCCAAAGCCAAGCAGCCCGTTGGAGCCGATGGTGACCACTCCGTGCCAAGCTGAGTACACCGGAACAGCAAACGGAAGCGCCATTGTCACACCGTCGTCATCACGGCCCATATTCAACTCCGTCGCATTGCTGTCTTTGCTCAGATCGACCCAGGCGTAGGCCTCGGGCGAGAAGGCGTCGACCACGTAGCCGGGGCCATCGCTCACCGGCATCTCCGCCTTGCATCTCCCCATCCAGCACGTGCCAACCGCATGGCTCGCCCTCGCACTCCTCGGCGCATCCAACAGCTCATCGTTCACATCCAACCCCGCCAGCTCGCCATCAAGAACACAGGCCGGCCCGTGGAGCGGCGCGCAGCTCGCCATTTCGGTGCAGCGGACGTCGGCCGGCTGGCACCCGGCAGCGGCTGCGCCTAGGGCAAGCGCTACAACGAGGGTGACCACAAGAGAGAGTGCTGGCAGCATGGTGCTGTGGGTCGTTGGAGGTGAGGTGTGGGGTGTGGGCAAGCGGGACGGAGTCAGTGAGCGGAGGGGGGGCTGACTCGACGCAAAGCGGCCGAATCGGTCGGCGGAGCGCCAGTCGACCAGATTGGGCATGGGCTGGGGATGAAGACGTCGACTTGTTGTGCGATGCTTGGCGTGTGGTGTCTGTGATTGTTATTTACATTTACTTATGCCCATTCGACACTGCCGATGGGGCGGACGCGGTGCTGGGCGAGGCGATGGCTGACCCAGTTGCGGAGATCGTTGGCGAACCAGAACTGGCTGCCGTCGGACTTGTAGAGGAGCGGCTCGAGAGCTTCGAGGGTGAGGGCGGCAGAGGGCTTGAAGGTCTTGGCGTACCACCGCTCGAGCTCGGCGACCTGGACGTCCGAGTAGCCGGCCCGGGAGAGGCCAATAAAGTTGAGCGACTGCGAGGTACCCGACGGCGACGAGCCGCGCGAGGTAAAGGTGGTAAACGGCAGAACGTCGCGGACGACAGAGGTGCCAAGGCCGACCATGCAGTACGGGCCGATGGTGGAGAACTGGTGGACCTGCGAGTTGATGCCGACGTTGGCGTTGCGCATGACCCGGCAGTAGCCGCCAAACTGGACCGAGCACGTGACGGTCACGTTGTCCTCAATCACCATGTCGTGCGCAATGTGCGCGTAGTTCATAAAGTAGCACTTGTTGCCAATCTTGGTCACCGCCTCGTACTTGGGAGGCTCGCCCTCGGGCGCGTGGACGTTGACGTACTCGCGGAACACGTTCTCGTTGCCGATCACAATGCCGCCGGTCGGCGGCGTCCGCGTCACGTAGTCCTCGGGCCAGAGCCCCACCACGCAGTGCGACGAGAACTCGTTGCGCGATCCGACAACGACGTCAGGACCCACAAAGTGGCAGAACGCCCCGACGTCGTTCTCCTCGCCAAACCGCACCCCAGACTCAATCTGCACGTGTGATCCAATCTTGGTACGCGCACCAATGACCGCACCCGAGCGGATGATCGAGAACGCGCCCACAGAGACGCCAGCGCCAAGCACCGCGCCGTCCTCCACAATCGCCATCGGCGCAATCGTCACGCCCGGGCCCACTCGGGCGCCCGGGCTCACCAAAGAGGTCGGCATCGGCTGCGCAGGCGCAGTCGTCACCGCAGCGCGCACCGGAGCGGCGTATGCCGCTGGCGCCGGCGCCGGCGGTGCCGCCGATGCATGAGCCGGCGCGGTGCCTGCCGGCGCCTGAACGCCCAGTGAGACCAGGTGACCAGCCATGGCTGCAATGTTCGGCTGCTCAAAGAGGACCATGCCGCTCAGCTCGACGCCAAAGGCCTCGTTGAGCCGGGTCCGGAGCGTGGCCGACGCCAGCGAGTCGACGCCCAGCTGCGCAAACGGCGCCTGCCGGTCAAAGCCGTACGGCCGGGCGGCACCCACAAGCTCGCCAACCACGTCCTCGACACGGGCCTCGACACCCGCCGTAGCCGGGGCAGCGACCGGAGCAGCGGTAGCAGCCGATGCCGCTGACGCGTGAGCCGGCGCGGCGACCGCCGCCGGCGCCTGCACGCCCAGTGAGACCAGGTGACCAGCCATGGCTGCAATGTTCGGCTGCTCAAAGAGGACCATGCCGCTCAGCTCGACGCCAAAGGCCTCGTTGAGCCGGGTCCGGAGCGTGGCCGACGCCAGCGAGTCGACGCCCAGCTGCGCAAACGGCGCCTGCCGGTCAAAGCCGTACGGCCGGGCGGCACCCACAAGCTCGCCAACCACGTCCTCGACACGGGCCTCGACACCCGCCGTAGCCGGGGCAGCGACCGGAGCAGCGGTAGCAGCCGATGCCGCTGACGCGTGAGCCGGCGCGGCGACCGCCGCCGGCGCCTGCACGCCCAGTGAGACCAGGTGACCAGCCATGGCTGCAATGTTCGGCTGCTCAAAGAGGACCATGCCGCTCAGCTCGACGCCAAAGGCCTCGTTGAGCCGGGTCCGGAGCGTGGCCGACGCCAGCGAGTCGACGCCCAGCTGCGCAAACGGCGCCTGCCGGTCAAAGCCGTACGGCCGGGCGGCACCCACAAGCTCGCCAACCACGTCCTCGACACGGGCCTCAACACCTGCGACAGCCGGGGCAGCAACCGGAGCAGCGGCAGCAGCCGGGGCAGCGGCAGCGGCAGCGACCAGTTCGACCACCGTCGACGTTGACGGCGTCATCGACGACGCCGCAAACGCAGCCCAGTCGACCTCAAACATGCCGATCGATGATGCGGCGTTGTCGGCGGCCAACAGCTGGCCAAGGCCCATGAAAGCCTGAGTCGGGTCCAGGAAGCCGAAGCCCTGCGAGCGCCAGTAGCGCTCAAAGGCCGGGCCGAGCTCGGACGCCATGCCGTCATCGGCAAACGTGCACCAGTTGACGCTGAGCGCCGGCAGGCCGGCGCGGTGGCGGAAGGCAGCCAGGCCGTCGAGGTACGCGTTTGCTGCCGCGTAGTGGGTCAGCTGCGCGTAGCCAAGGACGGCGTAAACCGACGAGAAGAGAACAAAGGCGTCGAGCTCCAGAGCGAGCGCATCAGCCGCAGCATGCAGCGCCCATCCGCCAACAACCTTGGCGCTGAGGACGCGCTCGAACCGCGCCGGCTCCATGCCGACGGCAAAGCCGTCATCGAGGATGCCGGCAAGATGCAAGATGGCCGAGATCTTGACGCCTGCGGCGCGGGCCCCATCGCGGAGCGCGGTAAGACCAAAGACAACCTCCTCTGGCTTGGACACGTCACACTGCGCCAGCGAGAGAGTCACGCCCTGGCCGCCGAGCTCGGCGACGACGGCGGCGGCAGCACCGTCCAGCTCCTCCAGCGATGCCTTGGACCGCGAGAGAATGCCGATGCGCTTGACGCCAACCCGCGCCAGCCAGCGCAGGACATGGCGGCCGAGGCCGCCGAGGGCGCCGGTCACAACCACCATACCGGAGTCGGCGGCACCAAGTGCAGCGCAGACTGCGTCGGCGGCCACGCCGCCGGCAGGAACCTGGGCCCGGACAAGACGGGTGGCGTACACAGAGGTACCGCGGAGCGCAATCTCCATGACCTGTGTCACAGCGCCACCGACAACGCCATCAGCACCCAGGACCCGGCCGAGGACGCTGCCCTCAAACGCCACCTCACCGGCAGCGCCCGGGCAAAGATCGATGATACCGACCTTGGCCCACGAGCTCTGCTCGCGAGCGAGGACCCGGAAGAACGACCAGACGCACTGCTCAAGCGCGCCTTCGTGGCCGTCAGCAGGCGCGCCCGCCGGCGGTGCAACAGGAGCCGCGTTGCGGGTCAGGACTGCAACCGTGGCAATAGAGGCCAGTGCCGGCGTCGCCGCCACCGCCTGCACACCCGCAAGCACGTCGAGGAGCCAGGCTGACATGGCGACACCCGACGACGATGCCTTGGCCGGCGCCGGCGCAAAGATGACCGCCCACTTGCTGGCGTTTGCAGCAGAGCCGGCGGCCGCAGCTGCGTCGAGTGCGGCGCGGAGCGCGTTGTTGCCGCCCGAGAGTGGAACGGCCGCGCCCGAGCCGGGTGCCATGCTGGCGATGAGGGCCGAGCCGTAGGCGACGTCGTCGCCGAGGACAATGACAAAGGTGCCCGAGCCGGCAAGGCCCGCGCCGGTGACTGGGCCGATCGGGATGTACTGGGTCTCGTACACGTGGTCGGCGACGTAGGTCGAGGCCTCGACAAGGCGGGAAGGAGCGGTAGCGTCGCTGCGAGCTGCGCCGGCGCCGGCGGCCGACGGCTTGAGCTTGAACTTTTGGATCTTGCCCGAGGCGGTCATCGGGAGCTGGTCGGCAAACTCGTACACGACCGGGGCTTTGTAGCGGGCAAGGTTAGCAGCACAGAGTTCGCGGAGCGCGGCCTCGACGGCGACCTCCTGACCAAGCGCGTCCGGGTTGAGGACGATGATGGCCTTGACAATCTCCTCCATGACAGGGTCGGGCTGGGCGACGACCGCGGCCATGCGGACCTGCGGGGCGCGGTAGAGGATGTTCTCGACCTCTGCGCAGTACACGTTCTCACCGCCGGTAAGAATCATGTTCTTGGCGCGGTCGACGACTCGCAGGTAGCCGTGGTCGAGGGCGACGGCAAGGTCGCCAGTCTTGAAGTAGCCGTCCGAGGTAAAGGCCTCGGCGTTGGCGTCGGGCCGGTTCCAGTAGCCAGAGAAGACGGTCGGGCCGCGAATGTGGACCTCACCGACGGTCTTGCCGTCAGCCGGAACGGGAGCACCGGTCTCGGGATCAACAATGCGGACGTCCATGAGGAGGAACGGGCGACCAGAGGTGGTGATGAACTCGGCGGCGCCGTCGCCGAGGGCGGCAACGGCTGGGGTGACGAGCGAGAACGAGATCTTGCCGCAGCACTCGGTCATACCGTACGAGATGAAAAAGGTGACCTGCTCGCCAAACCGCTCAAAGACGCGGCGAACCATTTCGGACGGGAGCGGCGAGCCGCCGCACGACATCAGCCGCATCGAGGTGAGGTCCAGCGGCTCGAGCATGGTTGCCGGCAGCGACATCATCATGGTCACCATGGTCGACGCAAAGTTGGTGATGGAAACTCGATGGTCCGAGACGATGCCGAGCGCGCCAAGCGGGTCAAAGGTCCGCGAGATGATGTGCGTGCCACCAACCCAAGTGATGACGTAGATGGCAAAGGCATCGACAAGATGGAACATGGGCGCAAAGTGGCCCCATACGTCGCGGCCGGTGATGGAGAACTCGGCGGCAGCGCCGAGTGCATGCATGGTCACAATCTTGTTGGAGAGGACCACGCCCTTGGGGAAGCCGGTCGTGCCCGAGGTGTAGTACATCTGGTAGCCGTCTGACGGCGAGGCGGGGCCGACCGGGAGCGCGAGCGGCGCAAAGCCTGACAAGGTTCCGGCCACCATCTGGGTGTAGGTGTACTCGGCGACCGTGAACGGGGCGCCGCGGGTGAGCGGCAGGCTGAGGGCGGCGTCCTCGGCCTCGGACGGCGAGACCCAGACGATGCCACCAAGCGAGAGCGCTGCCTGGGCGCCGTCCCAGTGGCCGCCGGCGAGGATGTCGGCGACAACCGGAGCGTACTCGCTGTCCACCACCAGCCAGTGCGGCGAGGCGTCGCCAAGAATGAAACCGTGCTCAGCGGCGACAAGGCCGGTGTTGAGGTTGAGGACGACCGAGCGGAGGCCAGCCGCGGCAAAGTGGAGCTCGTAGACAACAGCCGAGTTGCGGCACAGGACGCCGATGCGGACCTGGCGGAGCGCGGTAGCGCCGCCGGACGACGCTGCCGCGAGCGACGACGCAATGTTGCGGACGCGGTCATAGACCTGGCCGTAGGTGTGCTCGGTGCCACGGGTGACGTCACGGACGCCGACGGTGGACGAGCCGAGCGCGACGGCACGCTCGAGCATGTCCCACGGGTCGACACCGGCAGGCATGATGTCCTCGGAAGCCGGAGGCGGGGTCGGGGTCGGTGGCGAGCGGGCCGGCACAGGAAGACTCGCAGACGCAGGCGCGGGCGTGGGCGAGCCAGACACGGCCTGATCAACCATGGGCGAAAAGGCGGCAGTGCGGGCGCGCGACGAGAGCACGCCACGCGAAAAGTGGGTCATGGTCGAGTAGTCGACCTCGACCTCGAGGAGCATCGAGGTGGAGGCCGCGGCGGCCGCGGCGGCAGCAGCGGAGAGGCCGGCGGTGGTGTCGACGTGGGCATAGCCAAGGCCAAAGGCCTTGGCCAGGGCAGCGAGGTTGTACTTGGGCAGGACAGTGCAGAACGGAGTCCGGCCCACAAACCGCTGGAGGCCGGACATCATGCCGAGCTCGTGGTCGCGGAGGACAACGACGGTGACCGGAAGCGGAGCGTTGACAAGGGTCGCCATCTCAAGGCCGGTCATGAGAAAAGCGCCGTCTCCAACCAGCGCAACGGCGTGGGTGTTGGTAGGCGCGGCGCCGGCGCCGAGGGCAGCCGGCACGCAGTAGCCCATGGACGAGTAGTCTGTGGGCGAGAGGATGCGGGTGGGCGCGTCGAGGACAAGGTGCTCCATGGCGAGCACAGTGCCGTTGCCCGAGTCGGTGACGTAGACGGTGGTCTGAGACGGGAAGGCGGTCTGGAGCGCGGCGAAGAGTGCAGCGGGAGGAAGGGCGGTGACGCCCGACGCCGACGCGGTCCGCTCGCTCATCTCGGGCGCCGAGAGGGCCGGCCAGAGGGTGGCGCGGGCGGTGGCGAGGCGCGGATGAATCGACGACTGGGCGGTGGCGAGGCAGGCGGCGCGAACGCCGGCGGCAGCACGCGACTCGAGCTCGGCGACGAGGGCAGCGACGAGGGCCGAGGAGTCGGCCCGGACAGGAACGGCGTCCATGTGGGCACCGGGCACGGCCGGGTTGATGTCCACATGAAAAGTGACCCGCTTCGGCGCGGTCCGGTAGTGGGCCGAGGCCATTTCGGACATGCGGGCGCCGAGAATGACGACAACATCGACAGGCTCGACAAACTCGCGGAGGACCGACGGAACCTGGGCGCCAAAGCCCGGCCAAACAAAGCCGGGGCTCGACTCGGGGTACACACCCTTGCCAGAAAAGGTCGAGGTGAAGAGGGCACCGGTGAGGCGGCCGAGGGCAAGAAGGGCTGCGGGCTCGACGCCCGCAGCGCCGAGACCGACGTGGAAGAGCGGCGGGTAGGCTGAGTTGAGAAGGGCAGCGGCAATGCCTCGGATCTGGGCAGCGGTAATGGGCGGCGGAGCGAGCTCAAGACCAGCCGGCAGGGCGAGCCCGGCGGCGGCGTCGGGCACGAGCTGCGCGCCCGAAGCTACCGAGAGCGGGACCGAGACAAAGACCGGACCGGGCGTGCCCGAGACGGCGAGAGCGGCAGCTGAGGCGAGGGTGCGGACAAGGCTGTGCGGGTGCTCGACGGCAAGCGCGCCCTTGGAGATGGGCGCGGCGACGGCGGCGTACCAGCTGGCAACACGGGCCTCGTGGGGGGCTGGAGCGTCGGCCTCAAGCGAGACAACCACGAGCGGGGCGTTGTCCATGTGCGCCTCGCCGACGCCGGAGAAGACAGCCGGGAGGACGTCAACGCTCGGCGCGACGAGGGCGACGCCGACGGCCTGGCACCGCTGCGAGCGAGCATAGCCGTCAAGCATGAAGCCGGCCGACTGGTTGTCGGTGACGGCGCGGACGTCGAGGCCGGCAGCGGTGGCTGGCGCCTTCCAGCCGAAGCCTGCCCATGCATGGGTGACAAAGGCGAGGGCGGGACCCGGCGAGTCACTCATGGCAGCGAGGGCAGCAAAGAGGGTGTCAAGCGCCGGGAGGTCAAGAGCAGCCGGGAGCGGAGTGGCGAGAGCCGGCTCGGTCAGCTCGACAATGACGACCGAGCCCGCAGAGGCGGCCAGGGCAGCGGCGTCGGCGAGCGAAGCACCGACAGCAAAGCGGGCCGAGACGCCTTCGGCAAAGGCGGCCAGGTCGACGGCCGGCGGGGCGGAACCGTTGGCCAGCGGCGCGGTGCGTGGAAGGACGGCGACGACAAGCGGCGCGTTGGCGGCAGCGGCGGTGACCAGCTCCATGCCAGTGGCGAGCAGGTCGTCACGCGAGGTGACGACGCAGGTCGGAGCCTTGGCGGCGGCGTCGGAGCCATAGGCGGCGCGCCAGAGAGCGGCGCCGATGCCGGTGCAGAGCGTGCCGGGGCTCTCGATGACAAGCGTCGACGTGCCCTCAAGGAGGCACGACTGGACGCCGGCGGAGGCGGTGGCCGGAGTGAGCGACGGAAGGACGATGACGCCAAACGGCGCGAGGTCGGTGGGCACGGCGGAAGCAAGAGCTTGGAGCTCCGCGGCTGGGCGCGAGGCAAGCACCGGGTATGCCCCGTAGGCAGCAGCAAGGTCTACGGCGGCAGCGGCAATGGCGGCGTCGAGGGCAGCGGCGTCGCAGGCATGCATCGAGTTGAGCATGTCCGAGGGGATTTCGACCGCGACCGGGCCCGGGGCGCCGCCGGCAGCCGGCGACGGGTCCATGGCCAGCTTTGCGGCATGGAGCAAAAGCTTGGGAATGGCCTCACCTGAGGCAGGCGCGAAGACGTCCTTGACCATGGGGCGGAGAAGGGCCTGGTTGTCGACATCGTGGAGCTGATAGGCGTCCGAAGCAACAGCCGAGTTCGAGGGCGATCGGCGAGCACCTGTGGTGACCACCAGCATGGGCGCTGAGGCCAGAGCAGCAGCAGCGATACCAGGCAGGGCATGGGTGATGCCCGGACCGCCGATGATGTTGACAACAGGGAGCGCTGGAGCACCGGCAGCCACCGATGCGGCCCATGCGCCATTTGCCATGAAACCGGCCGACTCTTCGTTGCCGATGAGGGCGATGGACGGAGAGGCCTCCGTCAGCGACGCCAGAGCCTCATACATCTACAGAAACCAGACCATATCATGCAAGTGAGTCTTCCCGAGGTGTAGTGCGTGGTACAGAGTGGTCGGCATCGGTGTGCGGCTTGCTGTAGCCATGGGAAGGCGGCAGGAAACGAAGCAAAAGGTGCGTAACATCCGCCACAAGCCGTCCAGGCCACCATACCTCCAGTGGCCAGGGGGACAGAGAAGGAGCATGACGGGAGAGGGAGAATAAACGGCTTCGTACCTTGAGGTTCTGGACACCAGGAATGCCCATGACAAGCGAGGCTCCCGCAGCCTCCATGCCGAGGGCCACCAGGGCGTCCCCGCGCTTGGTCGACGTGCTCATTCTCCCAAGTGATGTGGCAGTCGTTGAGGCGGGTGGAGAGGGGAGGGGGGGGGGGGGAGGGGTTCGGCCGGCTAGGCAAGCGCAGAGGCTGGGGCGGGATCGTCAAAGAGCGAGTCGGTGCGGTTGGCCGGCGGGGTGACGACAACAAGGAGCGAGTCGGCAGAGATGCCGGCAAGGCGATCGAGCGAATCGATCGATGTGCCGCCGATGTCGAGGACCGAGAGCGTAGGCCGTGGTGGGACGCGCTCGATGCCGGGACAGCCCGAGACGTCGAGGACAGAGACATGGAGCGAGGCCAGCCCGGCCGAGGTGATGCTGGTGCAGCACGAGGCATACAGCGCACGAAGCTCCGTGAGTGGCGCGAGGGCGGCAAGAACCGCATCGTCGGCGGCGGTGTGCGATATGTCGAGTTCGGTGAGCGAGGTCAGCGCGCCGAGCATAGCCAGTGCCGGCGGAGTGAGGCTGGCGCAGTGCGCGAGTGAGAGCGATGTCAAATGTGAACAGCCAGCGATGACGGCGGCAAGGACGTCGTCGGTGGCACCCAAACACGCGTCGAGGTGCAGCTCGGTGAGCGCAGGCGCGGCCGAAATGACCGCCACGAGTGCAGCGGACTGCAGGCCAACATCACCCGCGTCAAAGACATCAAGCTGTGGCATCGACAGATGTCCGAGCAGCGGAGCGCCGGTCAGTTGTGGCGAGACGCAGCCGCGGAGCACCAGATCCTTGACCCCGGCAGCAAGACCGTTGTGTGCAAGGATGACTCCGAGCGCCGCGTCGGTGAGCAGCTCGGTCTGCGACAGATCCACCGCGGCCCACTCGGACTGGGCGCACGCCAGCAGCTTGGCCACCGCCACAAGCTTGGGCGCATCGTCAGGATCGTCCTCATCGCCCCAAACCAGCTCTTCCAGCGCCGGGCAGCCGACAACAACACTCGCGATGCCGACCATGGTCACACTGGGACACCCACCGACGTTGAGCACCTTGAGCCCCGGTGCGATGACCGGAAGCTTGGCCAGCAGCGCGTCGTCGATAGCACGAACGACCGAGACGTTAAGCTCGACGAGACGAGTAAGGGCAGCAATGCCAGCCGTCAGTGCGTCGGAGGTGACCCACGACGAGCACCAAGAGAGGGAGAGGGAGTGCAGATCAGGGGCGGCAGTAGCAATGTGCGGCAGGAGCTCGTCCGCGTCGATGGCCTCTGTCTCGTCGAGCACCAGTCCTCCCAGAGCATCACACGCAGTTATCCATGCCATCAGCTCAGTCGAGGTCAAACTCGCCTTGACATCATCTCCCACCACCATGGTCCCGCAGGCAGGAACTTGGCCCACTTGTTCGGCGCACGCCACTTCCACCCGGTGTGCGGCAGTGGACATGATGCGAGCAGGGGGGGTGGTGGGGATGGGTGTGTGTGGGTGTGTGGGGGGGGAGGAAGGGGGTGGGGGTGGAGAGTGTGGTGAGGTTGATGCAGGTGAGGGTGAGACAGATGGGGATAGCCGAGGAGATGTGCGAGGTGGGAGGGGACGTTGTGCTATGGGGAGAAACAGGTGGCGCGTGTCAGTGACGATGCATGCGGGTTGCAAAGAACAAAAAATATTGTGAGTTGGTGGAAGGGGGGGGG